TGATGGAATTCTGAGGGGGAACTGTACCACTTGTCTTTAGCCCTGAAGATGTTCTGCTGGCCCTGCTTTCCACCTTAGAGCTATAACTGTTTATGAAATAAAAAGTAGGATCTGCTGTTTCCTGCTAACATTGGGGTCCTAAATCTTTTTTTTAATGTTGCCCTGTACTGAACCATTGAGTAATGTACAGAGTAAGGGGAACAGTGATCTAGTCCTATTAGGAAGAACACTGCCAGTTCTTAATATATTTTGTCTGTGGGATGCAATGTGAGGAGAATGGTGCTCTCTGAATAATGAAGGAATAAACTCAATTAAGCATGCTGTTCAACAAGGCATTGGAGTGGGGAAGTTGGTGTAATAATAGCAAAAATGACAGCTGCAACATGTGGTCATTGCCCTCAACATCAGCATAAATTACAATCCAAACTGTGATGAAGAGAAGGCTCAGGGGAGACGTGCCAGTACCTAAAGGGGCTCCAAGACAGCTGGAAGAGGGACTTTGGACAAGAGAGAATGGGTTCAAACTGACAGAGGGCAGGATTAGATTAGATACTGGAAATCAAGTCTTTGCTGTGAGAATGGTGAGGCACTGGTAGAGGTTGTCCAGAGAAGCTGTGGCTGCTCCATCCCTGGAAGTGTTCAAGGCCAGGTTGGATGGGGCCCTGAGCAACCTAATCTATTAGAAGGTGTCCTTGCCCATATCAGGGGGCTTGGAACTAGATGACTTCTAAGGTCCCTTCTGATCCAAACCACTCTGTGACTCAATGATTCTATGTCCATTGCAGGAAATGTCACCTGTATGGTCAACTGCCTGGGGGAGACAAGGAGCTCCAGGTACAGCACTGCAAAGCATGTTTATATAGAGCAGATGGATCTGGGACTGTGCATCAGTTTGGTGGCCTTCACCCACTCTGTGTCCCCACTCACACACCTTCTGGCCAAAAGGGGCTGGCTGTGGTTCCCAGTGGGGCTGGGCACTGCTTGCATAGCCACAGGCTGTGCAGGGCACTGGTGTACAGGGCCAAGAGACAACATCTGCTGCAGAGCTGTTGCAGTTCAGTGATGCACTTAAGGGAATGAATGCACCTGTTTGACTTTGTAAAATAAAATAAAACAGCAGGGAAGGCTCATGAGGCCTCTGTTAGAGACAGCTACTGCTGGCTCTGTGCTGTCTGCCAGCATGTTCATGAATCCGTGTCCATATCTTGTCCAGCTTGGACAGTGTGGTGATTCACATGTCACAAGGTAATTGCATGTATTTCATAATTTGGGGTTGAATTAAGCTGTGAAATTGAACTGAGGAGCTGGTGGCCCTGCAGGGTCTGTCAGAATTCAGCATAGTGCAAAACCAAGGTTTGGTTGTTTAGACAGATACTAAGGATATTGCTGTTTGTAAGAGCCCTGGATATCCTGCTGGGGGGGATGCACAGCCTCCTGTAGGAGCACCGGAGTCCATTCCTACCTTTCAGAGTCCAAAGTGAGTCAGGGCATGGAAGTGGGATTACTCCCAATTCTTGCCTGTTGGGCATTTCTGAACGTTTTGATGTCAGCTGGTGCTGGTGCTGTTCTCTGCTGAAGACAGAAGAGAGGTCTTGGGCCCACTCAAGAGGGCAATTCCTGTGCTTCCAGCTAGGGCATCCCATCAAGACACATATGTGATTGTGAGTGAAAGCATCTGTGGGTGAAGAGTTTGCCAAATGTCCTGGCAATCTGTGTAGTTAATAACCAGACAATGAGAGAGGCTGCACTTTGTCATCATTTGTTTATCACTGTTGATTTCAGTGTCCACTGCCAAGTGGGTCCTACTTTGGTATTACAGCTGCAACTCTTTTTTTGCATGCATGTGATATTTGCTTGCACAGGTACCATGTTTATACATATCATTGTGTCTAAACACTGCCAACATTGGGACTTTTGTATGAGGTATGTAAAATCAAACATTTTTTCTTGCAGAAATATCCTAAAGTCTTGGGAAGTTTTCCCATTCATAGGGCTGGATCCCAGCTCTACTCTCTTACAGCAACTACACTAAAGTGTCACTGGACACTTGAACTTCAGCTGCAACAGTCTAGAGCAAAGACTAATTTTCTTTGCTCTGGAAGCAGAGTAGTGTAAAAATTTCTACAAGACTTGCAAATTAACTTGTGTTTGTATTCATATGTGTCAAAGAAGAGCCTAATTGCATAGTGTTCTTTGCTTAAATTCACTGGGCAGCTTCATCAGGAAATGAAGAAGGTATTGTCCTGGGGGAAAAACATAATTTGAGCCCTTCTATTTTGGATTAGTCCTAGTAAGTATGAAGTTATTAATATTTGCTGCTAACATGACATTGCTGGTTTCTTGAAAGGTTATCATAGGATCTCAGAGTGGTTTGGGTTGGAAGTGACATTAAAGATCTAGTCCTAACCAATTGCCATGGGCATTGACACCTTCCACTAGACCAGGTTGCTCCAAACCCCATCAAACCTGGCCTTGAACACTTCCAGGGATGGAGCATCCTCAAATTCCCTGGGCAATGTGTGCCAGTGTCTCACCACCCTCACAGGGAAGAATTTCTTCCTAGTATCTAATCTAAATTTATTTCAATTTCAAGATATTCCCCCTTGTCCCATCACTCCACGCCCTTGTCAAAAGTTCTCTGACTCTCCTGTAGCCCCTTTAGGAACTGGCAGGTGCTCTAAGATCTCTATAGACTCTTCTCCAGGCTGAACTCTTTCAGCCTGTCTCCATAGCAGAGTTGCTCCAACCCTCTGATCATATTTTTTCTAAATATATAACTTCATTTGCACTCAGGAGGGGAAGGAGAAATGTATTTTAAGTATCATTTTGGGGCTTGTTTTCAATTGGGAGGTAATAATGCAGAAAAAAATTATCTGACTCAGGACTTTCTGAAAGATGGATCAGGCTACCTGATGTATTAACGTGCCTCAGGACAGATTATGGTTCTTTCTGGCTTAAAATGTAATTTAAATGAATTAACTTCCACATCTTACGGCTGTGACATGCACCTGTCCTGGACAGGAGCTTGATTTATATCACCTTTATTAAGATATATCTGTGCACAGGCTATTACGTGCCATCAATATGTATGTGTTACTTGATTCCTGGAGCCACGACCTGACAGGTGACTCTGTTACTGTCACTTAACTGCTGACATGACTTGTGCCACCAGCCATGCCATTAAGCTATTGTGATGTGACACGACCTGATCCATAGCGCTCACGACGGGTTGTGCCTCCTGCTTCTGTCAGATGTGGAAGATTAAGGAAGTGGCATGTAATTCCTCCTGGTCTTGCTGCATCTGCAGGGAAGGGCATCTCCCTGGGTCAAAGCCATCAGCCCTGCCTGGTGCAGCAGCACAGATGAGCATGTGATGTGTTTGGGGGTTGTTACTGGCTGAGAAAGTGGTAGAGCTGTGAGGTTGCCTTAGAGAAGTCTCTTATCCATTGGGTTAACTAGGACTAGAAACACGAGTGCAAAAAACCAAGGAATTCGCATGAACTGCCATTAAATAAATGGAATCTAACACACTCATTTCTTGTTCCTGCCTGGTGGAAATGAAAGAAATGTCTTGCTGTGAAGTCTGATAGCAAGGGACCCCACTGTCCTTGGAACCAGGTTATTCGTTGGCCATGCTTTGTGATTTGGTTATGTTTGCATTTGTGGAGAAAGGACTTGATTTGAATGAATAGTTGAGATGGTAATCACGGCCATGGGATGCTTTCTGCATGCATTTTTTATGTGTACCCTTTTATCTTCCAATCTAATATAGTTTCTTCATATTTTTAAATGGAAACCCATGGTAAAATGGTCACATATGACCTAACCCCCTATATTTGCAGTCGTTGGTAATTATGCTCATTTACTTTGATTACATGCTTTGTGACAATCATGTCTGGAATGGACTGGGGGCGGATCTATGGGTTAAAGCAATTTATGGGATTTATCCTGTCTGTGAAGAGATGTTTTGATGGAATGAAAAATCAGATTCAGTTTC